GGGAAAAGAGCGAAAACATCCAAAAACAAGATAAAAACAAATGGAAAACATTTACAAAAAACACACAAACAAACAATTTATATACAGATGGAGTAAACGCAATAATGGAATATGCCAGTAAAAACTGGATCAACTGGAACACAATATATACTTTCGAAATTAATTTTAATAGGGATTGGTAGAGCCTTGGCAAATTAGCTGAGTATATACTAATATATAGGCAATAAGCCGCATGGTAGGATTAGTCCTTAATGAGTTTATTAAATAGATAGAGTTAAAAATTTGTATAAAACGAATTTACAGTTTCTCGAAATAAATTTAATAAACAAGGTGTACACCACCCGTTTTAAAAAAAAAAAAAAAAAATATCTCATTACCTTTAGATAGCTAAATATTAAAGATTTTAAAAAATATAAATTTATTATAATAAATTTGCTTCAGTAATATAAAATTTATTAAAGTATTAAATATAAAAATTGTTTTTACAAATTTGCTTATTAAATATTCAACTTTAAACTAGAATAACTTAATAAAAAATTAATAATTTTTTTTATCTTACTATTGTAACAGGTAAAATTGGGATGCGACGTCCGTTACATGACCAATTGTCACATTGGTACCCCAACGACTATGAAATATTAGGTAATAAAGAGAGAGTCGGGGAGGATTGTAGAAAGAATTATGTCATCCAGCTTAGTCATGACATTATTATTATTAGCACTTATTATTCCATAGCCAAGACGTCATAGCTAGATGTAACAAAAGAGAAGTATAAAATAACAGAAAATATAAGAGATATAGGGGAAGTCATAGAACAAGTAGTGATAGTGAGTAAAAGAAAATTAATAAAGACTTGGTCAAATAATACGTCTTAAATCACCTTTCATTTATTTTACCCCTTGTAACAGTTACGTAAATCTTTGCTAGAGTGAGCGACAGACTTGCCGATACACCATTACACTATTATTATGTAGCCCAAGACCAGGCTTTTAGAAAAATATAGTTTTATCATAATAAAAGTTGCCTTAATAATTCAGAATAGATAAAAAATTTTTTAAAAAAATTTTTTCTTTATGTTTATAATAATTATTTACATGAAGCAGAGGTCTGACTTTATAAATATTTATCTAAATTCAAATCCCTATATCTTATTTGAAAGTTCTTAATATCTATTTTTTTTCTTACAAATATATATATTAATAAAAAATTCTTAGTTATTAAGTTATATAAAAAATACAAATAACTATTTTTTTAACAGTAATTATTTTAGGAGACAGGGGTTTAAATCGATGAATATCTATTCAAATTAAGTAATTAATATCTTATTTGAAAGCTCATAATTATTATTTTTTTTCTTACAAATAGAAGCATAAATAAAAAATCCTTTTTTATTGAGTTATTAAATAAAAGTAAAATATTTTGTGATATAAATCATATATTAAAAAATTTTTTACATGATGAATATATTAAGTTAATTAATTTATCATAAAATTTATAAAACTTATTTCTTTTAGGTTTATATATATAATTACTAATTTTTGTAAAAATTTCACATATTTTAAACTATTAAAAACATTTAATCATAACTGAGATTTTATTTATATATAAGAAATTATTAGGATTTTAAAAATTGTTTGTTATTAATATTTTAATAACTAGTGATTCAATTTAAATAAAATATATATTATTTAAAAGCTCTTTATAAGAAGAATTCAATGGTAAAATTTTTACTTAACTGTTACTGGAGAAATACTTCCATTCCAACAGCAAAATTTGAAAGAAATGGAAAAATTGATTAATTAATTACTATATAATCATAAAGATGTTATTGATATAAATAATTATATTGAAATTGATGACTTATTTGTAATTTAGATATCACAAATGAAGATATTATCAATTTAGTTCAACAGAAAAAAGTAAAATATGATACAGTGATTAAATGTATCAATACACTTTTAGATTTTATTGAACAAGATTCTAAATTAGATTTGGATAATAATTATATGAATGTTCTTATTTCAATGCAACAAAAAATTTTAAAAATTAAAAATCTTAGATTTTTTTATTTAGATTAAACATTTTATATATAGTATATTATATTATATGTATACTTATTTATATAAATTAAACAAATAAACCAAATATTATATATATGTTATAAATATATTGTAATTTTTAAATAATTAATTTATTTTATAATTAATTTATGAGAATAGATACATATAAAACTTTTAATTTTACTATCTAAATTAACTTTTATAAATTAAGTAAATATATTTATAATATTGAATTCTACATTCAGTAAAATTTTCACTAAATTTTAATAAAATTTTATTATTTTATTTAACAATTTGTATTTATTTAAAATTACATATTATTACATAATAATTTCACTAAAATTAAAAAAATTTTTCATTATGGATAGAATTAATTATAATAAATATATTTACTTAATATATTAAGATCAATTTATATAATATAATAAAAACTTTTACTAGAAATTATAATTCTAAATTTATGATGATAATTTTAAATTTTCTTTTTTTTTTAATAGTAATTTTATTTATCAAATAACTTTTTAAATATTTAATATAAAAAATATATAAGTAATTATTAAAAACCTAATAAACAATATTAATTAATCATAGATTACTTGTTAAAACACTAGTTATAGAAATAATATGAATATAATAATCAAAATCAAAATCAAAATCAAAAAAATCGCCGCGTGAAATGTAGACCCTAAACGCTAATAATAAAATGTTGTTATAAATTAGCGAAACTTTCACTGTATACGTATTTAGTTGTCTATATTATACTTACATAATACACAAAACCATATATACCTAATAAAATAAAAGTTTATTATGTAGTAACTTTTTACGTTTAAAAAAATTTCGGATTTTTTCGAAAACCCCGTGTATCAGATTTTCTTATATCTTGAAAACCGGGACCCAGAAAATTTTCGATACTTTCAATTAATGCTTCGATCATCAACATACTGTATATAGATTATTTGTACACAGTTTCTTTTATCGAGAGTTGACCGTAAATAATTATCGTTTTTAATTAGTTTCGTGAAGCATGTGAGACTGTATTTACAAAAATGATATTACCCCTATCTACGATGTATATATAAATTATAATTGAATAAGTAAATAAGTATTTTCAGTCGATAATTAAAATTTGACTATGAAACGTCAATGCATTCGTGATTCGACTTCTGAGTCTTGATTATTTACTAATTAACGTATATAACTTTAATCTCCTCTGAAGGGCATTCAACCTCGTAGATGCATCCTTATTTCCTTGGTTGGATGCCTCTTTATACCAAGTGATGGCTTCATCAGTGTTTTTATTAACGCCTTTACCAAATTCATATGCCCTTCCAAGTTTATATTGTCCAAAACTATTACCTCCTTTTGCCGATTTTTGATACCAATCGTATGCTATTTTTTTATCGACATCAACCCCGCAACCTTTTTCATAACAATATCCAATATTATATTGCGCCCCAGAAAACCCAGCACCTGCTGATTTCAAATAAAGATCTAATGCTTTTTTTTGGTTCTTCTTGACGCCGTTTCCACGTCGATATAACACTGCAAGATTATTTTTGGCAATGTAGCTCTCCTTTTCTGCTTTCTGATACCAATGAACGGCGTTTGAATAATTAACTTTTGTACCAATTCCTAAGTGAAAACACCTTCCATACTTAAATTGGGCAGCATGAAATCCCATTTCGGATGACTTTTTGTAACAATTAAAGGCTTTCGATTCTGATTTATGAATTCCACTCCCTGTCTCGTAGCAACATCCTAACAAATATTGGCCAATGTCACTATTTTTTGACGCTGCATGTAAGTATTGTGTAGAGGCCGCTTCAGGATTTTCTTGAGTCTCTATCCCAAGCTGATAAAATAAGCCTAAAATTACGCTAAAACTTGGTTCTTGATGAGAATGTTTACCTAAATGAATAAATACTTTCTCTAAAGAATGTTGTTTGTTCTCTAAGTACTGTTGGATGTGGTTTTTTAAATCTAAATTCGTCATCATGCCTCGATTAAGTTCGTTCTTAATCTCGATAATTAATGATCGCAAATTAATGTCTGTAACGAACTCCGTATTAATCACAAGTTCTTCAGTGCCACTGCTTGCATGGCCATCACGAGGGGTTGGAACTGTAGTTATTGAAGGTGCGTCCTCTAATGAATTTATCAATTCAAAAACTTGAGAGATGTCCGGTCGTTCGTTTGGATCATCCTTCCGGCATTCTAATAGATTGTATGGTATGGTTTAGTTTATACAGTAATAGGAAAATGGAATTTCATGTGTGACAGAACAAGAAAGATCAAACAAACCATCACAAATTCTCACACATTCTAATGGAATAACTTCGCTATGGTTAGACTGGACTTCTATTTCATCTCTAGACACCAATTCTGAGTTTAATTCAGCGATTGTTTTCCCTACTGATGGTGGAAAACCACTAAATATTTCCCAAAGTAAACCGCCTAAGCTAAATATATCGGATTTTTTTGTTCGTTTATATCCGCTTTCTTTAAAACACATCGGATCAATATAAGCCTCAACTCCCCGGATCTTGCTCTTGCTGGAATATAATTTGTTAGTCTTTTGATCAATTTTTTCCGACAGGCCAAAGTCCGCAACTTTAATCTGTCCTTGACAAACCAAAATATTTCCAGGATGCTAGAATATGCATAATTATTTGACTGAGTTACCATCTTTTTGCGCACATTCTCAATGATTACCATCACTTACCAAATCCTTGTGGATAATATCTTTATCATGCATGTCCACGATCGCACTTGTAATTTGTTTCGCCAAGCGAAGCCTGTCACCCCAACTTAATGCCTTTCTACAAAGATAATCTCGCAAGTTCCCATCATCGGCATATTCAAGGATTAATAAGTAGTGTTGACAATCTGTTTGATGGTTAAATTATTATGCACGTACAATAAGTTAATCACCCGCTGAAAATTCGCGTCCAACGTAGATGGAATTTAAAAAAGAATGCTTGCCTTTACTAGAAATTCCGAAAAATCGAATGATGTTATAGTGATTATTAACTGCCTGTTGTAATTTTAACTTGATATTCGTAACAATTGCGTTTTATAATCTATCAATTTTACGAATTGTAATTTTAAAGCAAATAATAATAATAACAAACAATTGACCATGTACCTCATTGATAAACGCTTCTGCGGTTTCTTTGTCAACAATGTGTATCTCCTTCATCGCAACGACCATTTTTGTGGCTTTTTTAACTGCTCGATAAACTTTTCCAAAGGAACCGTGACCGATTTCTTCAATATCCTCAAAGATGTCATAGTCATACTTCGTTAGCTGTAAATAATTGATAGATTGTACGAGTTCATCGACCCACTTCTCTTTGCTTGAAGGTTCGTTCATAGTGTTTATTAAATAATAATGAAAAAAAGTTGATGGGTAAAGTTGTCGAAATTGAGAAAACTTTAATGCGCAAAATGACTTCGGAGATACATGATATAAATGTCGCCGATAGTTTTTACACACGGTTGTATACGGTGATGCTGTGATACGTTGTAATACAAACAGTTAAAACCAAACTGGCATTCTTCATTGGATAAAGCCTAATTATAGAGAGTCATTTTAACGAGATAGACGAATTAAGATCTTTCTAGAAGGATATCGCATTGATTAATGGATTTCAATTTTCAAAACAATACTGCTGTAAGATGTCCGAGCGAGAAATGAGTAATTATTTTTGCAAGGGTACAAAACGCCAGGTCGATTTTTGGTGTCAGGGACCATAATTCTTTGGGTGCCGGTTGTATCTATTTTATTAACGCATATTTACAATGTAATAAAGCTTTGAATACGCGCACGCATTATGTTATCACATGATTATAAACAAATATTGTATACGTTTAACTTACATACAGTATTTATCTTCAAACATTATCAGTTGTGATTTCTTTGTTATTTTTCTGTTACATTAGACATCTTGTGAGACTAACAAAATTTTTTTTTTTAGATAACTTAAAAGCGATTTTGATTTTTGACATTTTTGCTTTTTTTGTACAAAACAACCTACGTACTTAAATATATTTGTTTTTTTTAGTTATATTACAAAAAAATTTTTAATTTCAAAATCCAGTTTTTTTTTTGATATCAATTACATATTTACAAAGAACAAATACGATTTATTGTATATACCGGATTTCATGTTTAATTACGACTATACTTTTGATGGATTATCATTTGTTTGTTTATTTTATTTATTGCAATCGGACTAAAATACAAATTTTGAAAAATATACTTATTGAATTTAAAAAATTACAATATTTTTAATAAATAAATTATTTAAATTAGTTATATACAGTATATGTAGTATCGATGTTTATTTACAAAAAGAAATCACTATTTTTATTTATTTATTTATAAATTTTAAATCCAATTAAAAAAACATGTACTTATTATTCTTTATAAAAAACAAGGTACTGTATATCACGATAATATGCTAACTAAACATGCCACACTTAAAATATTAAAATATCTGCTACTTGTATTTATAAAAAAGACAATTGTCAATTTTCTTATTTAAATTTCAAAAATCAATTATATTCTAATTTTTATTATCGATAAAAAAAATTAATAATTTTTTGATTATATAATTTAAACTATTTTTTAAAATTTTCAATTAAATAAATTATATACAACGTATTTATTAATCTCGACCTAATATCAAATATCAAATATATTATTATTAAACAATATATTTTATAATAATTAAAAAAGATCAAATTATATCAAGTTATTAAAATAATTAAAAATTTACTATTTTTTAAACAGTTTTTAAATTAAGTTTAAATCAAAATTGTTTGTTTTAATATAATATATTGTTATAAAATAAGTAGATTTTATAATTTTATAATTTTATAATAAGATAATTTTATTTTAATATTATATTAAAATATTATATATAAAATTATTTTTAAAAATATTATCTATAAAAAAGAAATCATATTGTAATGCATAACAATTGTATTTTGAATATTATATAATCACATTATAAATTTTATATAACAAACAAACAGTTTTCAAGACAATTTTTTTTAAATTCAATTAGTAAATAATTAATTAATCAAATTAAAAAATAAATATTTATATTTTTTAATTAAAATATATTATATAAATAAAAGTATTACATGTTTTATATCATAATCAGGCATTAAATATAAGACTTTATTTAAACAATAACTTTTTTTTTTTAATAGAATAGGCATTATATGCCAACTATTTATTAATATATATATGATATTACAATTATATCAAACATTTTCTATAATGCTAAACTACAGCTTAATGCTAGCCTATACTACTTTTTAATGCCCCAGCAATACTAGTAACACTCTTGAAGTGGATTCATATTTTTGGGAAAACTTATCTAGAAAATGAAAATTCTATCACTAGCTTTAAACCATTTAACCTATCAGTTTAATTTTTGTATAAGAGCAGTCGATACTGATGACTATTTTCTAAATTACTTATTATATCACATCTCTTTGCACCTTTATTCTGTGGCAAAGGAGCTGACAATGTAATACTTGTACTCTTTAGTAAATGCTTCAGTTTTGGTTCGTTGGTTGACACTAGTTGCCAAATTTAAAGGCTCTTGTAACAAAGTGAAATATAACTCCTAAGAACCTTATAGGCCATGCTAAGCAAGTTCTTAAAGTCTTTTATCTTCTAGTAGACACTCCAGTTCAGAACTGGTTAGCATTGGCTATCAAATCTAGAGGCATAAATATCAAGCAGAATGCAACTTCTACAAGTATAAACTGTTTGAGATTAAGCCATATTACACAAGACTTCAATGTTGTTCAGTGCTTTCTTCAAAGCTTTCTTATTCAATAGTCAACAGTAGAGAAAATGGTGGTTTGGGATTGGTTAAGATGAAGTACAGCCCAATTTGTATGTCCAAATGTGTGAATAATTCGTGACACCTTTTACAGACAATTATCATATCATCTTCTGGATGATCATTATACTACTATTCCTTAACAAGAAGATCACAATCCCAATACTTGCTGAATCAGCATGTAAAATGACTTTTTATGGGAAATAGCACATAATTAGTCATGATATCAGATATCATATTAATTCTATTCAATTACCTTCATATAGAATTGAACTGGTATCTATTTAAACAATAATTTTACTATTATTATATTAATAATTTTTATAAAAAAATATAAATTAATTATAATTTATTACAATATAAATACTATACAAATTTATATCAAGTGACCTGTAGATCTATTGTACAATAAATAATGCTTCCAGATCTCCAAATACATGTCTCTAGTTCAATATTCACAAAAGGTAAAAATATATAAATTATTCTTTATCTGTGAATTTATCAGTTTTTCCACAGATATATATTGTCACCATTATTGGCAAGTCTGTCACTAAAGAAAAACTAAGATTCACATAACAAAAATAAGTGTTTTTATTATAGATAAGATGAATTTTGATTATGGCCAAAAATGATTTTTATTAATTTTTCTTTCTCCAATTCTCTTGTTGTTATGTCTCTTTTTTTTTCGATACATGGTTCTTTTATATATTTAGTCCAGTAATTACATGAGTATTTCAATGAGAAAATAAAATAAACAAAAAAATAAAAATAAAAGAAAAATAAAGTAATGAAATTGTAATATAAAAAAAACTCTCTTCTGAAAATCTCGTATTCAATAAAAACTACTATATAAGGAAACACAAAATTTCGTCTCAAAAAAAAATTGCCAGAGACCCTAGAGAAGTCTCCTTCTTTAAGGGCCAACTCATCAATCATAAGCACATTCTCTTGAATATTCTCATCACCAATATTCAAAAACCAGAAGCAATCATTATTTATAAAAATACCAAAACAAATAAAATTATTATTTCTCCACCAAACTTCTCTCACAAACTCCCAAAGCTTGAAAACACTCCACAATCATGGCTTACGCTGGTACGCTTCACTAACGAAGGTCCAGAAACACCCAAAGTAATTACTGCCTCTTTTGAAACATACCAAAGAACCAGAATTTCAACATCAACAACCGTTGTCAATATCTTATACTTAAACCCTATGCTAGCAAACTCCCTTAACATCTTCTTTGATTTTCAAAATGTATTCGAAATAACTGATGAAGATAGAACTGAGTTAATGAAGGAGATTATGAAAAAACAGCTAAATTACAAACTATACATGCCTTGGAACAGACTCGACATTCTCTTCTCTAGCACAGACAATATTTTTTCTTTAAAGCAAAAAACTGAAACACCCAGACCTCCTCCAAATACACCAGCCCCAAATGTGGCAATGAGCGACGACAATGAAATGCAGGATGATTGTTCAACTGAAACATCACATGTAGCTACCCCTGACCACAACGCAGATCAAAGCAGCCCTCATGCAGTGTCAAGCATTACACATAATCAT